GAAAGAAAGAAAGAAAGAAAGAAAGAAAATCTGGTGAGGTTTCTATTGGAGAAAAATAATACTTGAGCATTAAAAAAACTTTAATATATTGAAGCATATTAAGTATGTTTTTGAAAGTGTTGAGATAGTACTCAGGAAAAATAATACAAACAATTCAGATATTCAAAAATATTCAGCCAGGGCCAGCCAAATAGCTCAGCGGATTAAAGTACCTGCAAACAGGCACAAAAGCCGGAGGTTTGGTCCCCCCAGACCGACCTACCATGCCGGTCCCACCCCCAGGGGCACACTGAGACAGCAATTGAGACTGGGCATGGTGGCGTGAGCCTGTAACCTCAGCTCTTGGGAAGCTGTAAACAGGTGGATCACTATGCGTCTGATCTAGTAGTGAGACCCTGAACACCCTGTAGACCCTTCCCTAAAATACAAAAATGAAAAGAATTCAACCATATTAATAATAAGAACATAAATTAAAACTAAATTGCTGGGGCTGGTGAGATGGCTCAGTGGTCTAAAGCACCTACTTAGAACAAGCTAAGCTAAGCTAAGCAAAGCACAGGGACCACGGTTCAATCCCCCAGCACCACATACCAGCCAGCCCCGCCCCCTGGTGGGCTGAGCTGGCCACACACACACGCACACACACACACACAATAAATAAATAAAAATTTTAAAACTAAATTGCTATACGATTTCTCACTTAACAGACTGGTACAATTTAAAGGTTTGACCATACAGTCTTTTTTTAAGCCTATGAATGAGCTTATACTTTGATGGTAGGAGTGTAAAACAACATCACCGAATCAAAGGAGAAATGATCAATATACAGTACAATTTCCCCTTTCACTCAGTAATCTCATTCTTGGAATCCATGTCAAAGGAACACTGGCAAAGATACATTATGCTATATGTGCTCAGGTATTTATTACAACTCTATTTGTAACAGCAGAAAGGTAAAACTTAAACTAAATGTTCCTCAGTAGGACTGGTTGAATCAACAACAATATATCCACTAGATGAAGTATTATGAAGCTGTAAAACAATGAAGAGTATATACTCTGTATACTGCTTTGATGTGATCCCCTGACAGCCTGTTAGGTGAAAAAAGCCAGGTAGTGGAAAGTATGAGAAGTATGCTGCCATTTGTTTATTAAAGGAAATGAGGTAGATAGATAGATATTATTGCCATACAATTTTGCTTAATCTTGTTCATCTAATTCTCATATAATGGATCCCAGTATCTTAAGCTGGAGGACTGGAAGCAGCCTAACACCTTAGCTTTGTGAAGACCCATAGGTACCCAGGAACCCAGGCTTCCCATGACAGCCACTGCCATAATTTTTACAAAGAAAGTCAGTTCAGCTCAAGAGGCAGTAAAGAGCTCAAGAGACCCACGGATTTCAGGTCAAACCTGCTCCTGCAAAAGTTGAAACTAAGCCAAGAACAAAAGTCAACAGGAAAAAACTAAACCTTTGGGAAAAGAAGTACAACATAAGGAAAAGGAGGAATAACATGGGAACTCACTGGAGTGGCTTAACAAGACAGTAAAGACTGCAGGAAGGGAAAATAAAAGGAACCAGCCTCCTCTGATTTAGCCCAAAAGAAAAAAGCCAAATGTAACTGACATATTTACATTAAGTCTTTTTTTTCTCCTTTTGATACAATGTCTTGCTCCACAGTTCCCTAGCAGCTAGGGCAGGTGTGAGCCACCACACCCGGCCAGCATGGCATGCAGTACTGGGGACCAAGCTCGGGAACTTGTGCTTGCCAAGCAGGTGTTTATGCTACTGAGCTATTTCCCCAGCCCCTACACTAAGTGTTATTGGCAGTTCAAGAACTTTCATCTACACGGTGGAAGAATGGCTTGTCAACTATTCCAATAGCTCTAGAAACATATTGTTCAAAAGGAAACAATTGCACCTCATTTCATTTTTCAAAATATACTTAGAAAACAGTAAATGCTTTGTTTAGGAGGTGAAATCATGTACTGTGTCACCATGATGACATCATGTATTGTGTCAAGGGGCACTCCATATAATTTGGGGGAGAAATCATTTCACAATTAAATTGTGATTAGGGCTTGTCCAAGGCCTAGTGTCTTGTCGTGGGACTGGTTATGGTATGCAGAAACATAACTCCATGTACCTCCTGTCACGGTTGTGGCTGCACCTGTCCATGATACTGTGATGTTCCAGAGCAAGAGTACATCAGCTGAAGACATCCTGATTGCTTAAGAAGACTTTAATGATAAAAAACTGGTTTTGCCTGGGGGAAAGAGCAATCTTATTAACCTGCTCTCTCCACATCATCCTCATTTTCATAAGATCCTCATTAGTCTAAGAACACCATGAACTCCTGAGTCATCCAAAGTCATGCTCATCAACATAAAATCCTTCTCAGCATAAGGCCACTGCTGGCCTCAGAGTCATCTACTAATCCCCTCACCATTTTCCTCAATGTAAATGTGACTAATAAATACCAAGGTTCTTCAAAGACCCAATCCAAAAGTGGGCATCTGAGATGAATTTGCACTTCTCAGACAATGAAAGACAAATGGCAAAGAAATATATAAAAACAAGTTGAACATCATTGGTCATTCAAAAAATGCAAATTAAAACAGCACTGAGCTTCCATCTCCAAAAAGAAATCAAGCAATAACAAATGCCAGAGGTGCTGTGGAGAAAAAGGAACTATTATCTACTGTTGGTGGAAATGTAGGCTGGTACAACCACTGTGGAGATAAGTGTGAAGATTTCTCAATAAACTAGGATTAGTGGGGCTGGGGAGATAGCTCAGGGCCTGAGTTCAATCCCCAGTTCTGCCAAAAATAAATAAATAAATAAATAAATAAATAAATAAATAAATAAATAAAAATAAACTAGGATTAGAGGCCCCATTCAACTCAGCTATCCCCCTTCTGGGTATCTTCCTGAAAGAAAACATAACACCAAAATGATATATGTGTCCCCATGTTTATAGCAGTGTAATTTGTAATAGCTAAATCTAGGAAACAACCCAAATACTCAACAACTGAGGAATATAGTGATTTATATAATGGAATACTACTCGCTATAAAAAAGGATGAACTTGAGACATTTATAGGTAAATGGAAGCAACCTGAGACCATACTCATAAGCAAAATAAATCAGACTCACATGTGTAAACATCTTATTGTCTTCCTAGAATGAGAAGCTGAAAGAGAAAATAAGATTTAAAATGTACAATAGATATTGTGAAATGGGGAGAAGTTGTTCAAAAAGAAAGAGGAACTAGATTGGGAGGAAAAGGAAAGGAAGGCAAGGAAAGGGAAAAAAGGCAAGATAGTTGGACTACTGGTTTCTCTTAGTTCATTGAAAAGAAAGTTTTGTACTACCACTTAGAGAAATTTTATGCCCCTATTTTATATTCTGAATAACTGCTTTGAAGATAACAATACACAATGTATTACTATTGCTCTTCTCTTATTATTTTGGTATGAAATCTTGTTTTATGTTTTCCATTAAATAAAAAATACATACATACATACCTGGGGCTGGTGAGATAGCTCAGTGGTCTAAAGCATCTACTTAGAACAAGCTTAGCAAAGCACAGCGACCGCGGTTCAATCCCCCAGCACCACATGCCAGCCAGCCCCGCCCCAGGTGGGCTGAGCTGGCCACAAAAATAAATAAATAAATATACATACATACGTACCAAGGATCTGGCTGCTTCATGGCCTTTTATTCACGGACAGTGAATAACTGTCCGTCCCAGATTGCTGGTATATTGCTATTTGTGTCTTACCCTTTCTTTTTCTCATGCACCATAACATGTTCCCAGAAACTGAGGACTCCCTTCAGGGGTTCCAGATGGTATTGATCATTTATTTTTCCGTAAAGACAGAAATTTGTAGGATATGGAATTAAAGAATGTTTTGGTTACATTGTATGTCAACTTAATACCCATAGACTGGGGATAAAGGTGGTTTTACAACCTGTTATATGCTCCGGTTATGCCAAAAAAAAAAAAACCTGTTATACGAAGCATAACTATATAGTAATTTAGAGATGTGGCCATGCAGTTAACATGTAATAAGTATTTCAAATCACTTATGCATATTATTGTACTAATTGCCAAGATTATTGGAGTTGTGT